AGAGTTTCTCTCTCAGAAAAATAATAAGGAAGAGAAATATCTTTGAATACATATAGTATTTTTTGTTGTTTAGAGAAAAGGTAATTTTATTAAATATTTCAACGTTAGATACAAAAATTACCTGAGAAGGCAAGATAAATTTTCTCTAAGTGAAAACAGAATGTAATAGTTGTACTGCAGATTGCAAATACATATTTTATTACATATTTTATCTATTTATAGAGATCGTGAAGATTCGTAGAGTTGTTAAAAAATGCTTGCTAAGTTTTTAAAATCGAATTTGAAGTCCTCTTTTGAAGTCCTTTTAAAAGCTCTCGTACATAAGAACCTGTTCACAAAAGGAATACTCATTCGTCCTTTTAACTTGAAATTAAATTAAGCGTGTCATATGTAACGTTCCATGGAAGGAAGATTTCTGGGGAAAAATTTTTTAAAATTTTACATCTAATTAAACAGATGTCAAGGATCGAAATAATTTCTTATACAAAATAAAAGAAAACAAGAAATACAGATTAAATAAATCTTTTAAATATTTTCTTCTACAGTATTTTTCATACAAGAGCTCTTCAGTAATTTCAGTAATTTCATTTCGTTTAAATTAAGTTACATGATTAGTTGAAATTTATACTAAGCGTTATTTCCATTTGGACGAGATAGTAGATCCGGTATTAATTGATGCTTTATAATCTTTATTGATAATATTAAATTCTCAACTGATGTAGCGCATTTGTGTCACATATGGGAGAATTGATTTGACATTAATAATATAATATATATTTAATAATAATAAATGTATAACAGTGAATCTATTACAATTAATAAATATTAACGGTGAATAATATTAATAGAGAATTTATTACGATTAATAAATACACAATAGTGAGTTTATTATGGCGAAATACATTATTAATGTCAAGTCAATTCGAACACACAACCTTGCTTCAAATACAAATCTGCTACATCGAGAAATTAATATTACTAATGAAGATTATAAATTACCATTAATATCAAATATTATCTCCACGCAAATGGAATCAAATACAATCAAACACATATAATATAACATAGAACATAGAATAAATAAATTAATAGCCAAATTAATTTTAAAAAAATTTTGAACAAATACAGAATTACACTTCTTCAGAATAACTACTATTAAAGATAATTATTATAATAATAATAACGAAATTTTTCCCCTTTTTAAAAGCTACAAATTTAATCAATTTAATCAATTTAATTCTAATCTTATTTAATCCACCGTGCAAACAAAATGACAAAAAAAGAAAGAAAGAAAAGAAAAAAAAAACGAAATAGAAGAGGCCCACTTCAATTTTATTCCATCGTTTAAAGAATCCAAGTTAAATTACTACTACCTCTGCCCAATTCACCAAAATCCCAGGAACATCGAAAATTTTCAACAACAGACGAGACAATTCCAAGCTTACATCCCCTCCCCATTCGACTACTGAAGCCCGGCAACTGTACTGGAAACCAGCCGAAACCGAGAATAATTTCGTTTCCATAAGTTCATCCCTTCAAAAACGTATCCACGAAGCGGCCGTCAAAGAGCAGACATGGCTTCAGGCTCTGACGCCTCACGATAAATTCTCGTGCAAATTGTGCTCGCAATTTGCGTAGTAGTCTCCTTGCGCGTTACATAATTTCAAGTTGCACCCCGTTCGAGCGCAAATGCGTTGCGGTTAGTGCAGAGGGGGCGTAATTTACGTTTTACCTAAATACATCGAAAAGGTGAATTCGACAGCGTCCACCGTTTGGAATATTCTTGGTCGGTCACGCGACTCAGATAGGCCATTAATGGTAAACTGGCCCTCGAGGCAAATTGCTGGCCAAATGATTACAGACCAGAGCCACCCTCGAATTGCCTCTGTGGAGGTTGGTCGAAGACGCGCTTCTGCACAGACGTGCTCCTTCGTGTGACAGATTGCGTGGGAATCGATGATAATTAGCACCTTTCCGGGCATCGATGTGAACATATGGTGGAAATGGGGTTCGACAATCTGGTGGTGGAATTGTCGATATGGAATTTGGGGTTAGGGGTTGGTATTGGAGGGTCAGATGTGGAGTTATTTTGGGTAGAGGGAAAAGTGGGGTTCGAGGAAAGATGAGAGGGTGAAGGTTATGTTGAACTTTGAAGGGGAAGAAATTGGGGGAGTTGTGAGAAAGATAATCCTAGAATTTCAATGAAATCTGTGAATGATTTTTAAATTGTGAAAATGGTATGATATGAATAGAAATTCGATTAGAGATAATTGGTTTAACCAGATTTATTATTATATATCGAGTAATTATTTTTTTAATATATATGGAAAATAGAGGCTTTCTTTCGATTGTTATGACGAGAAAAAAAAATTTAAGAAACGCAGAAAAGTATTTACAAAATTTTACTTTTATTCGTAACAATAGTTACCTATCAACAAGATTTCACGTTTCTCGTGCGGGATTTAAAAAAAATATAAAAAAAAAAATAGAAAAATAAAAAGAGGTCGGAATAAAAATTTCCAAATCAACAATTTTGAGTTCAAAACTATTCGCTGTCAACGTGATGTGAAAACTAGACGTCAAAAACGACTATGATTCGATCATTTTTGATATATAGGTCGTCGTGGATTTTTGAAAACTCAGAAGAGGAGGGAATATTCAAACCATAGTTTGTCAACAATTCATTTTATATGATATTATTTTTTAGGTTTATTCGCTTTTGATAAAAATTTTATTTTCCGGTAAATGTAAACGTCACTTACGTTGTAAAATATTTATGTAACAAATTGTTTCCGATAAATTGAAAACTGAAAAATTGTTTTCCATGATTCCTTCTTTTATCAATATCTGTCTAATTTAAATGTTGGATATAAAACATATCATAATAAAATAATAAAATTGAACGAGATATTGAACAAGATAATATGATACTTCAAAAATATATTCAGAAATATAATTATGCAATTTAAAAAAACGCACAGAGATCTTGTAACATTTGATTAAATTATCAATTAGATTATATTGAAATTTGTATTACGATTATATAACGCACATAATTACATTCCTATTCTACCTTCTAGCCTCCATAATTATCCTGCTTGAGCGTAATGCAAATCATGTTATGATGCACATAGGTTTATTTGGACTAATATGAAATAGAGATCATAAATTCAATATTCCGTATGCATTATTGTTATCATTATTAGAATGATTGATGAATATTGGATTCTTGAAAATAAAATCTCAAATCGTCGAATTGAAATTATTTTAAAAAAAAATTATTTCACGATATAACATCGCATTTCAATATACGAAAATGGATATGGTAAATTAAATCTTCGATTTTCCAATATCGTAAAAGACGATCGTAACGCAATTTTATAGTAAATAGGAACGAAATGGGATCAAAAGGTAGAAAGAAACGCGGATCCAAGAATTTCGCATCAACCGCGAAACGGTAACTGCACTTGGACCTCGGCCAATGTTGTGTCAGAGGCAAGGGATGAAAATTGCAAAATCCGCGTTATTTTTCCATATAGATGTTCAATAATCAAAAAATCTTATCTGAATAATTCCAAACAGCGTTTTAACTTCCATTTTTCATTTCGCAGTTATTCATTTTTCTCTTTTTTCGGAGATATTTATGCATAGCACAGAATTGCAATAAAATTTTAATCTAAAACTTATTATATTTATTATAGTAATTATTCGTGAACGAAAAAATTAAAATTATCAATCAATTTTACGCAATTTAATTCTCACATAATAAACTCCATTTATAATTGAAACTACAATTTTTAAAGTATACCTATGTTTTTAAACAAATACATTTTTCTTTTATTCATAAGAAAAATTTTTCACGATTCAATAAATCAAATGAAATCGAGAAAAAAATCTTATCCGGACTGCTATTGCACTTTAATTAAAAAGATTAAATAATAAATATATTTATTTTCGTTAAATCACAGATTCTAAATTTCACTGTATCATATTTTACAAAAGAACACGCTTTTATCATAAATAAGTAATTTAAAAAGGAATTTTTATCTTGCCTTTAAAGAAATTTATTTTCTTAAAAGTTAAATTGATGCATTTTTATTTTTCGATTTTTCGCCATAACTTCGAGCGCCTAAAGCACATCTTCTCGTCTGGCTAACACCATGAACGATATCCTAAGCAATCAACGAGCAGATTTGACACAGTTTCGCGCGTCTAACGATTCGAAATTCTGTCTGTCGTAAAGAACGATGGCCGATCAAGTTTCCTGTGAAATCATTCGACATGAATTATGAAAGTTATCCCGAGAAGTCGCGTTTACACAAACGTTTCACGAGAATTTGGTGTCGCGTCACGTATCCTTGGCTGAAAGTGATCTTTCCGCCATTGTTCAAAGCTAGGCGGAAAGATTTATACAGCTTGGTTCCAGGTGTGCGGGTTCTTGCTCTTGTTATCAACAGAAATTAGTTATACGTGTAATTATTTGATAGCATTTTGGCAAACAATGCACGACTCCGCTCGTAAATTTGCCTCGAGGTTGTTTGTTCGAACGATATGTTTAATTGTTATAAATTTATACGCGTAAATTGTTCTTTGCGTATGATAAAATTTGTAACGGTATAATGTTTCGAATACTTTTGAAAAATGGAAAAAATATATGAATTCCTAAATTTAATTAGTTATGGAAAAATTTCGAAATTCAATATCTCTTAGAGCAAAATAATGACTCGTATCTTATTTCAATTCGACGTCAAAAGATGATCTATGTTCAGTTTCTAGATATGTGTTATAATTGGAAAATTCTATTTCATTTAATATTTAAAAAGGCATATGGATGATTAAAATATTTCACATCTATATAATAAAATATTAAAAAAGAAATAGTTTCATATTGATAAATAAACGATGAAGACGAAAATAATATTTTTCCAATCCACTATATAAATATCACTGCACCGTTTCTTAAAAATAATCCAATAGCTATACATTGTTTTCACACTTAGGTCACCGCACGAGGAAAAGACAAAGGAGAAAGAATTCCGATATGGACGATCTGAAATCCCTCAACAATTCGAGCCAACCCCTGTGAAGGAAGGCAGGAAATAAATGGATACGGGTGAAGGGAAGATGAAGCGTGAAGAAGCAAGCAAGAAAGAAAGCCAATAGAATCAGGTTCGTCAAACTCAGAATCCCGCTCGAAACTTCGTTCCTTCCGTTCACGATGACACTTCCGTAAAGGCGTTTCCTTCCCCTTGCCACGAGCAACTCTCCTTGCTGTTTCAATAGATCCTTTCTTCGAAATGGACTCCTCTATCTTTCTCACTTATCCACCGTTTTATCTCTTAAGCTTTATTCGATCGTTGGATGAAGGGAGAAAGATCGAAAAGGAAAGCGCGAAAAGGGAGAGAAATGCAAAAAAGAAAAAAAGAAAATGCTATCACTTTTCGTGGAAAAATGAAAAAATTGAAGGAAATAGATGCGGTCCAATTTGTGCCCGCCAATTTCTATTGATTGATCGAGTTCGATTATATTCGTCCAACAATCCTTCTTTCCATTCTCTGCTCTTCTTTACATCTCGATCGTTGCCTCCTCCAACTTTTTTCTCTTGTTTGCTTGAACTTCTCGAAACATTCTTCTATCGGATTTGGATTTATAATTTTGAAAATTAGATAGATTTGAAGAGGTCACGAATATATCAACACTGTGGAGATATAGATGGCAGAAGAAGTAGTTTTATGAAGAGGGGTTAGATTATTTTTAGCTTCGAAATCGTGGATACGTTCTTCCCCGCCGGATGTTACATTATCGACGGCGGATTTGAATTCGAGATGCGCGATTTAAAGACACGCGACCGTGTTGCGTATACTCTGACCCAGTTTCCAATGATGATAGGTTGAAAAGAGCAAATGTGTATTAATTTGACTGTGCTACGCTCTTTTGATGAGTCAGAGATAAAATCAGAAATGAAAGATAAATGGGGAGGTGTGTGTTCGAGAATATACTACTCGTTTAATATCAGGATGGAATTTTGTTTGGGCAGAAATCCAAATTTTTAGTTAAATGGATCGTTAATTTCGTCGAAAGAAACGTACACGTGTATATTTCAAAAATTATATATAATTATAAAGAGAAATAATGAATTCAGAATTTCTTTATCTTCTGACGAATAACTTTTTTGAAACGATATATTCCTCCGGATCGATAATATAACTGATATACACGATTTATACGCGTTATGATTCAACGAATTGATAATTTTAATTATGTTTTCCGATCCAAATTTTCTAATTGTTTAAAATATTAAGAGGAACGGGGATATTATCGTGATGATTTTTAAGAAAAGGAAATAGAGTTGTAATGTACCGATGAAGGTACTGTACAATTAAATAAAGAGTTCGAGCCATATCGCCATTGTTCGAGAAGCACAATGGGATGTTTATTCAACAACTTACAATGCAAGAACATTCTGGCCTATGGAAAGTTCTACGGGAGAAACATTTTCATTAAAGATAAGAAAACAAAGGTAAAAGGAGCGATACATTACGTTTTCACGTTGTCCAAAATAACACAGTTATTTCGCGCGCGAAACGTATGAACTCGTGTTATTCCGTGATGAATAATGCTTACAATAGGAGCGTAGTATTCGTGATTACGAGTGACACTACTCGTCCAAATAATTTCATGCTCGTTTAAAATATTATAAATATTTAATCGTGGTGCATTATGCGGAATGAAATTGCTTTACGAGGTGACAAATTAAATCTTTGAACAATTTTAGTTTGTATAAATTAATGATGGAATTATAGAAAAAAAAAAAAAATAATAATTCAACTTAATTTAAAATTTTATTTTTGGAAAATGATATTCGAGCAGAGGGTATATGTAATATCAATCTTATAAATTTTAAAAATATCTTTTAAATTTTAGAAATATTTTTAGAGATTGTGATTTAATTATTAAATTCTAATCAATAATTTTCTGGATAATGAATCAATTACACATAATGAATGTCGTAATATTTATTAACAAGAGTATGTGTTTAATATTCGTGATGTGCCAATATTTCTTAGTATTATTATAATTAATATTAATATTAACTAATAATTACTTTATTATTATTAATATTGGTATATTCGAATATTGGTAATCTCAAAAATTAATAATTAGATAGATGACGTTATTCAATCAAATTATATAAGTTACATTAATTATTAATATAGTAGAGATTATTTTGTTGTAAATCTGCTCTGCATGAATTGGAGATTGGAAAAAACAATTATTGAATTATTGAATTTATAACGAAACAATTTATTCTCTCGTTGATTGCTCGCTATTCGAATTTCATTTTCCTTATTAAAGATTCTGTAAATATCTATTTATGATATAAAAAATTTTCAAGATTTTTAATATTATTTATAATAATTAATTAAAACGACAAGACGGAAACAAAATAAAAAAAATTGCAATTAACGGAATTGAACGAGAAACTTATATTTCTGAGGGAATTAAAAGAGCAGCGGATCCTTCAGAATTCATCGTCAGAAACTATTCCAGAAATAGATTGAAGATTTTACGACGACATGCAAAGCTCTCATCCAAACGCAGCCAATACCCCGGTTGAACGAAGTTCATTAAAGCTCCTTAAAGCATCATCAAGACGGTGTTCATCCATTGGAATCGATTAAGAGACTTCGTGTCTTAAATTTTTCTGCGAGCACTTTTTTATAGGAAAAGGTTGCTAAAAAAAAAATAAGAGGAAATACTTGACCTGGAAGGTTACTCGATTTTTTTCGTGTATAGGGGATGTCGTATTTCTCCCGGTTCGTGTAAAATAAAAAAAAGAAAAAAAAAAAGAAAGAAACCAGAGCCAGTTGTCGTGTAGTCATTGTTGTCCCGGTTTCGTTCTCTATTACGAGAGTGCAGCGAAATTCTGACGTGTATTCGTGGCCAGAACTTCGAGAAAGCGAAGTTGGTCTCGCGCTTTTCGTTTTGAAAAAAGTTTCGAGAAAACCTTTCGAGGAAATATATGCTACAGCCGGTCGTACTTCTAATGAGGTATTTACGAAAGAAGACTTTGGAAACATAAGAGTATGTTTCGAATTTTTATTCAGTTAAAATTCGCTAAATCATTCCTAAAAACTTCTTTTTTTTTCAAGTTGTCGTAATTACTATATTATACAAAATAATTATTGTTTGTTATACAGGTAATACCTTTTTTATCTATTATAAATTTACTTATTATTAACATATCTATTTCATCAGTTAATAGCTTTTTAATCTACATATTGTATACTTCTTTCGACAATAACACTTATCCTAATAATAGACTTTATAATTACTTTTTTATTAATCTTTTTAAAAATATTAAATAATCATCTTTCCACGATTTGAACGCGAAAAATTGCATCACATCTGAAAATTCGGTCATAACCTAGAAAGAATGCAGCGCTCCAAGCGGAAGCGTCTGGAAGCTCGTGCACATTGTAGCCACAATGGCGGCCAGTTCAATTACAAAAAGCGTTTACGTCGTCGCGTGGTTAAGCCAACGTTGATCACGGTGACGAGCGTTGATTTAGATTTCGGGCCACGATATTGCACCAAGTTGCGGAACAACTGGCACCGCACCGGCAGGAAGCAACGTTCGGACTAGGCTCACCGCACGCCACGCTATCCGTGCTACATTCTGACGTAACGTATTGCTCTCGAGATACAATCAGTGGCGGCATTTGACACACTCCCGTGTTCCAAACGCGCAGATTGCCGTGCGAATCGAAAGCGATCGAGGCTCATCGTGACTCGGCTAAGATATTTCGATTTGGTTCTTCGATAGGACGGATCTTGCTATGGATCGTTTGTTTCGAGATTCCATTCTCTCTGAATTTGTTTCAATCCTATTCATCGATTCATCGAATTGAAGGTAATCCTTTGTTGGTCTAATAATTTGCTGATCTATACACTCTAATAAATCCTCTATTCATAGGCATTAGTTTGTTTATAGAATATTTATAGATATTTTATATACTTGATATATCTATAAATAAATAATATGGTTCATTTATTATATGGTTGATGATCGCAAATGATAGGAAAAGTGTGAAAAGTGACACATATACGTTTTATTTGATTAAAATTCTTAGAGCTCTTCAAACTTATAATTTTAATATAATTAATAATTTATTTTCATGATGCACGTATTATATGTGTTCTTCAAGCTTGAAGTTTCTTTCCATTGCACTTTTACCGCATCTTGACTCGACTATATAAACACTAATTCCAAAATTTATGATAAGATCGATATTGTCGAGATATTGAAAGATGATTATAAAAAAATGTTTTAATCTAAATTTTATAGATATATATATGTTTAATATCACACACCATTTATTAAAAGTGTCTTGGAATGCAAAAAGTTAGAATTTAAAAAAAAGAAAGAATGAAAATCTATACGATATTAAGATAGAATTTCCTAAAGCGGATTGGAGAGAGAGAAGAGCTGTAGAAAAGTATTAAGGCTCGAATGTTAATCACCGGTGTCGCTTCCTTCGTCACTTATTCAAGGCCTTAATATCGCGCCGTTGAACGTTTCGCGTGATTTACGCCGGCAGTTTCAAGCGGTGAGAATCTTACTCCGATTACAGTTCTCATTCCATTCGGATTACATTTCTGAATATTTCATACAATTTACGCGGTGGCGGGAAATTGTGGTTGAAGAATCGTAGTAATAACTGTGTGAACAGTTGTTTCAACTTGCCTCGTCGTTTAATATTTAATTCGTCTTGTCACATTTTGGGGGGAATATCCCCTCTTCCGTCGCATGCATGCTTCACACGTACATATGAATATTATTTCACCTTCTAAATGGAATAGTTTCTTAGAATCCTGTGCGACAGACCGCAAACTATTCTATTCTACTAATGAAATTATTCTGGACAATTTTTTAGTAATTTTTCCCTCTTGGATCTTTCTCATATTTGATGAAGCTGTTCCTGAATAAATAATGAAATCTCGAACAAAAATTATTACGAAGCAATTTTAATGAGATGAAACGAATCATTGAATTATTGGAAAATAAGAAGGAAAAAAAAAAATGAAATCAATAGTTTCATTAAATAGATAAAAATAGTATAGACTAATCAAATAAATGGAATAGGTCAATCTTGATGAGGCAAATA